GACCAGTCTCTATACGCCACCTGGGAACCTTTACTTCTGCCTTTCCATTTTATAAGGTAATGAACATGGTGACTGCAATGAGCATCACATATACCAGTTTTGGGGGTTGTCGTGTTCTTTGACACCCTGGAAATTGTAGTTCCATCTTTCAAGTCACAATGAGTGCAAGGTGATCCTTTTATTCTTGAAGCAGGAATCCTGAAGTCTGGGGTAACTGAAAAGAAGAGGGAGGATACCTTAGAGGAACCAGAATATCCTTTCCCAGGTCCTCAGGCAGGTTCCTATTAGGAAAAAGTATCAAGACAAGTTCAGGACATGGAAATTGATCTCCTCACAACTGTCCATATCAGCATACACTTCAGAAAGACTTTTTCTAATTAGTGTCATTCATAGGAAAATGGATACAAATTGAGGACATACTCTGAAGTGAAATAAATAAGACACACGTGTATAAATATCAAATAGTTTCTCTGATGTGAAAAACTATAATTGTACATAAGACCCTAAAGGTATAATTGGCAATGTAAAATAGGAAGAAAAAGGCTAAAGGTGTAGGGAATGTGGGAAGGGTAGGGGAAAGGGAATAAGGGAAAAGAAAAAATATGAGGAAATGAAAAAATGGAAATAAAGTGTTTGTAAATAGGGAAGAGAGGAGGGGGTGAAGGGAGGGCAGGGACAAGAGGAAAAAATGAGAACCAAGACCTGTCATGTAAAGGTACAAGATCTCAGTGATGTAACTGTACTGTGTACCTAAAACGTACCAATAAACTCAATGAGGAAATAAAACTAAGAAAGAAAGACTCTTTCTAGGGACTTCATCCCTTTGTCCACCATCTGAGGTCCGTGTTTGTATTGCCTGCCTTGATGTTGCTTCCTGCAACCTGAATCCTAAATGCATTCACTCTAACATCTGCAGTGAACTTTCAAGGAGAGTTGGGGCAGGGAGGAGAGCTCTAAAGTGTAGAAATTATTTTTTTTCCAAATCATAGCGTTCTGGAATTGGTGCTTGACTCAACGCAGATGACCTTGTCCAACAGCATGACACTGAAATGCCTGCTCAGATTCTTTATTAGAACTTGTTTCTTAAACAATCGGAAGACATTATTCACCAAAGTCAATGAAAGTGAAATGTCCTATGTCAGCAGGAGAATATGACTAGACGTGCTCTCATTATATTCATTGAAAGCATTTCCCCTGAACCTCTAAATATATTATTACATTTTAGATGACATTAAGAGATGTCTTTAGTCAAGGAATTCTAGGAGGAGGGGGAAAAAGTAGTTTTGGTTATTTTCCTTATTATTGTTGTTAAAATGTGAATCGTGCCCTTCAGTTGATGAATTCTCATTGAAGCTTCAATGGAAGGGGAAGATGAAATAACATAAATGATAGCTATAATTAATTTTATAGTAAGCTTCCTTGATGAAATTAATATTGTCAGATGGAAATGTAATTTAAGCAAAATATGCTTATATGCTCATGTAAGCTGAGTTACACATTTGGACTTTAAGAAAAAAAATCACTCTTGCACTTCACAGAACTGCTTGCAAAATGATTTAGCTTAATTGTTTGTACAGCTTTCCAGACATTATAGCTCTTTAAAGGAAAGAAGGGCACGGGATGAACAGGAGACAGACACAGGGTCATTTTAAATTTACTTCTGGATTTTGGAAAAATCATAATCATGCAGAATACTTCTGATTTTCAAAGAAATAGTTCTTAACATATATGTTAATAGACTTTGGCAGTACTTTTATATTTGTACAAAATTTTTAAAATGATCCTGGAAATTTAAAACAATCTAAATTTAAGCTGAAATAAATTATATTGATTTGTAAAGTAAACTCCCAAATATATTTACCTAACAGGTTAGCAAATGTCAGTAAGAAAGACATAAATCAATATCCATTGCATGTCTGAATTCTTTGTCTTTATATGATACTTCAAAAAAATTTAGCGACTGATCAGGAAGAAAAGTAGAAAATAAGAAAAACTGAATCACTGATTTCAGAGGAATGTTTCTATATACTCAAAAGCTCAAACTTCCGAAATTCACAGTGACTATACTGGAAAGAAGAACCACCTGCCTGTTTCTTAATATGAAACTAAACACTCTATAGGAAATAATGAAGCAATGAAAGATCAGTTAATCTTTAGACTTTCTTCCCTTAAGAATCTCCTTCTTGGCCAGGCATGGTGACACACACATCCTATTCTAGCCCTCGGGGATGTAGGAGGACGGCAAGTTCGAGCCCGGCCTGGCCAATTTAGCAACTTAGGGAGACTCTGTTTTAAAAGAATAAAAAGGAGGAGAAAAAAATTCAATAAAATGGCTGCTATTACATTCACCAGTTATAAGAGTGAACATCTCACTTCACAGGAATATAGTAAATCCAGCTGATATGCTGGCAGAGTGGGTGGCTTACTGGCAAAGTCAGTAAGTCTTTTTTTTTAAAAGTAGGTCTTTTTTTAAAAAAGCATGGCACAGTAGGTATGTTTAAGGAATGCTCGATCATTATCTAGATTGATTATAACCCTAGATTGGCTGCAAAACTGCAGGCAACAAGAGTTAGCAGAGGAAGGAAGGACACTAACAGTTACTTAGGATCTACCCCTGTGACAAGTATTGGGGAGCTATTTTCCATGTGTGGTCTCATATTGTTCCTTCATCAACCCTGAAAAGTGATATTATTTTCATTGTACACATGAGAAAAATAAAGCTCAGAAAGATATACAGTTAAAACACGGCGAGATTAAGATGCTTAACCTAGATCCACAGCTTATCTCAGTACTTGCTACCTTTGTGACAACAGTAATGACCTCACTTCCTTTTGTTACTTGTCTTTCCTTTCTAGTCTCACTGTTTCTCTAATGCCTCCAATTATTATGCCTCAAAGCATTCATTATTTGCTTTTTAAAAATTTGTTCTCTCGAGTTTAACTTCCCAGGATGGACCTTAGCTCTCTCTCTCCCTCCCCTTCCAACTTATTACGTAGAGCCACACTGTAAGTCCATCTATCTCTTGCTAAAAACATCTTAAATCAAGTCCTTTTGCATCAGTATGAGACATCTGTTACTTTTAAGTAGATTGCCACATGTTCCGACTGGTCCCACACTGTGATCTGTCCTCCACCATACATCTAGAATTATCTTTCTAAAATGAAAATCTAACCATAGCATTATTCTTTAAAAATCCTTCAAAGACTCGCTATAGCGTCCTGAGGATGAAAAAAATCTAGCGATCTCAGCTTATCGTAGCAGGAGAGTTTGTTCTCTGGTTCCCATCTCCTTTCCACTTCCTCCTGGGGATTTCATTCTAGTTTTTCTTGAACTTCAACTCTGCAGAGGATGTCACCCTCTCCACCCCCAAATCCTCCATTTGAACTGCCATAGCTTTATTGCCTACCGCGCTTTGGAAAACCCGCCTACGGAGCTCAGGCAACGGTCAGTTTCTTTGTGAAGAACTTGCCTATTCCTCAAGTTAGTTTTCCTCTCCTTTCTTCTATGCACAAAGATCCCTATTGACATGTGTAGCTTTCCTTACTGTATTACATTTCAAAACACACCAGCAAAATCTTTTCTGCCTTTTCTGGAAGAGTGAATCCTCCAAGGATAAGTAAGAGCTGGCTACATTAGCTTTTTGAGTTCTAAATACTGCATATATAGAGTAATAGAAGATAGGGAGGAAGGATTTTTTTTTTTTTTTTTGGTACCGGGTATCGAACTTGGGACCTTGCACTTGCAAGGCAGGTGGAGCCACTAAACTAAATCCCCGGCCCGGGGTTTATTTTTAAAACAAATCATTTCATAATTTTCACGGGGGAGGGTTGTCAGGATTCTTCAGTTGCAAGTGTAAGACACCTAATTCAGATTGCCCTAAGCAGAAAAGGAAGCATAAAGTTTCACGTAATTGACAGATCCAGTCCTGGCTTTAGATTCCAATAAATTGTGTTGCTCAAAATGCCAGCAGGAAGCAGCATTTCCATCCTTTTGGTCTGTGTGGCTTCTTTCCAGGGTGAACTCTTCCCATCAGCAGCTCTGGGAGAGCCCTTCCTCACCCCACTCCAGCATCTCTTTCTCAGCCTTTACTGTTAAAGCATTGAGAGGGATACTGACTAGATCAAAGTAGTCACATGCCCATTTTAATCCAATCACTGGATTGGTAGAGCAGATGTCGTGGTTGACTTTCATTAGTCAGGGGCTGAACTGGATGCAGGTGGAGGCAACCGCAGGCAACAGATGTCTGTTAGGATAAGTAGGGGCAAAAGGAACTTCCCTTCTACCCTCTGAGATTTGGAAATTGAGTTAGTTGAGACAAATTAGCACTGGGGAAAAAGCATTCTTATTTATTGCACAAAAGGTATCACGGGAAAGTGGGTACCCAAGAACCTAATGGGATTTAAAAGCTTATATACTTTTCTTCAGAGAAGAGGGAATTGGGGGATGTAGGCAATTTTTGAAGATAAGTGAATAATTTGTAGGGGAAATCCTGAACTACCTCAAGACTTGGGATGTCACCTAGCATTTTGGCAACAAAGACATCCCTATTGGCTAACAGGGCACTGAGGTAACTTCACTGGAGTCTACTCAGTTTACAGGGTTAGAAGGGGTGATGTCAATGCAGAAATATTTGAACTACTTTGATGACAAGATTACCAAAAACTGCTGCCAAAGGCAAAAATTATCACATGTACTTTTGGGCGAGTTCATTCATTTCCTAAAGCCCTGCTTCTCAAAACTGAATTTGGCTGATCCACTTATTAAAGAGTCTTCTAGTGTGCAGATGCATGGGCTCCCACACCTGTCCCACTATTCTCACCTAATAAGGGTTATGTGTAGGAAATAGAAACCTCCAAAGGCATTTCACACATGAAGAGACCTAGTGCAGGGACTTATGAGCTCACAGAATCATTGAAAGAGGGACAGGAATAGGATATAGGAGGAGACACCAGGATGACCAAGAATGACCTAGAGTGACCTCAAAGACCTCTGTCTTTCAGGCTGCCACTGGACACAGGAGGGCAACAGCTCATCCTTGTAGATGGGACCGAAGCTCAGGAAGTTGCCATTGCTGCCATACTCACAGCTGGAAGGGCCTCTTGACACCAGGAAGCTGGTGAATGGACACTTGTAGGCGTGAGTTATGGATCAGAAATCCGGAACCAAGAATCCACTGCTGTTCTAGCTGCTGCCACAACTCACACCTCTACATTAACACCAGGAAGCTGGAATGTTATGCAGAAAAACTGTTTCTATAATCTTGCTTGTCAATATAAACAACCAGGAAAATATTGTGTCTGCCTCACTTTTATCTCCTAAGTCCTCTTTCATAGAGTTAAATTCCTCTCTTAGGTCAAATCTCATGCAAATCCAGAACCCTACTGGCATTTAGCTTTTCAACCTGTCCAACTAAGAAGGACACTGGAAAGGCAGTTGAGAAAGCCATCCACACTGTGGCTGTTTCAGAGGCACCTTTATAAAGCTTTTCCTATATTATATGGTGAGTATATGATTTATATATTAAAGTATACATAAGCACATTGTATTATGACTTTTTTTCTCCTTCATGATATATCTAAGAGGGCTTTCTTCATTAGAATACATGGATGCAATTCATTGTTTTTTTTAATAGTGCCTGGTATGCACTTCACAGATTTTTCCAGTTTTTTCTGGATCTAAGACTGCTGCAGGCACATATATCTTGGTATGTATGTGAATGATTTTATAGTGTAGATTTCTAGAATTCTAAAGCTGCCCATATTTAAAATTTTTAGATATTGCCATGTTATAAGAGCAAAATTATTGAACCCAATTATTTTCTCTGAGATGTTCATGAAAGTTTTGCTTTGTTCATGTCCCTGCCAATACTAGACATTTTTTTTACTCTTCCGAAAAATGAAAAATAATGTCATTGCTTAATTTGCATTTTTAGATTATGAGCAAGGATGTCTCTTTGTAGTTTTTTTTTATATTTATAGTTCTATGAATAGCTTATTCAGCCAGTTAAAAAGTTAGGTTACCATTTTCCATTGGTTTAAGGAAACTCCTTTTGTATATAAGTAATATTTTTTCTATTATTGGCTTCAAGTGTTTCTCGTTATCTGTTGTGTCTCTTATACCTTTGTTTATTTTTTTTTTTGTACAGAAAGTTTATCATAATAGGGCTGGGGGATTTAGCTCAGTGGTTTGGTGGCCTGCCTTGCAAGTGCAAGGACCCGAGTTCAATTCCCGGTACCAAAAAAAAAAAAAAAAGAAAGTTTATCATCAATTATATCCATATTTTTTGTATTGTGAGTTGTGTTAAGGAAGCCTTTGTAAATTTCAAGATTATTAAAATATTCTTTTTTATTAAACTATTTCCTTTTTGGATGTTTCATGAAACTCAAGGTTAAGGGTATGGTTCTCCACAAAATACCCCTCACTTCAGATGTAAGCTGTAAGTTGGGGGTTCTCCCAAGCCCCCTCCATTTCTGACCAACTCAGTGAAAATCATGGGACCCCATAACTACTTTCAAAACTCATAGAACTCACCAAGAGTGCTAACCTTATCATTGCAATTTTATTATAGCACAAAGATACAAATCAGAATCAGCCAAAACATATGCATAGGTGAGGTATGGTAGGACTCCACACGCATAGCTTCTTGACAGCTCCCTGTGGAGCCCTCCCCCGGGTTACTCCTCCCTACACCAATGTGTGACAGCACGAGATCTACCAACCAGGGAAGCTCACCCAAGCTTTGATATGTAAAATTTTATTGGGGTTCCATTACATAAGCATGAATTATTAGCCATGCAGTGGAACTTTATTTTCAACCCCTTCTCTTGGGGAGGATACAGCTCAATGTCCCACTCAACTCTTTAATCACTTGGTTTGTTTTGTGGAGTGGTCAGTTCTCCTCTTTTAGTGCAGGCTATCTAGGAGCCCATCGTGAGTGAACACAGAGCAAACTGTCAGGTATGGTGCTACTATGAACGGGAAAAACACTCCAACCACTTGGGAAATTCCAGGCTGCCTCACAGGAGCTGAGATAAAAGCCAGACCAACAAAGACAAAATTTATTCTTTACTTGGTAGATATTTTATAATTTAAAAATTTTAATTTAGAATGTCATTTTTATGATATGTAATATCCATATTAGACTTTATGTTCCCCCAAGTGAGCAGCTAATTGCTTAACATCATTTATTGCTGCTTGTATCAATAAATGTTATTGTTTTTAGATTTTTTAAATCTGTGCGTGTGTGTGTGTGTGTGTGTGTGTGCATTGCTGATACAAACCCAGGGCCTTGGTATACTACGATGGAGGTACAGCCCTAGCCTTTGAAATGTCACTTTATTATGCAATAAATTGTTACATATACATGGCTCTGTTTCTCTGTTCTGATTTATTTATCCTTTTTCTATGCTGTTGTAATAACACCCTGTTCTGATTATCATAACTTCATTACATTTTTTAATGGTATATGTTTTGATAACTGGTAGGTCAATTTCCAATACATTATCCTTTTCTCCAAATATTTTAGATCTTCTAATATATTTTCTTTTCCAGATAAATTTTATAATTTTGTCGTATTCCACAAATATATCTCAATAGAATTTTTCCTGGGATTATATTGACTTTGTGAATTGCATTAAGGAAGTAAGGATCGTTAGAGTATTGAATTTTCTCACTCAACATGATGGCTTACTACTTTACTCAATTCCTTTTAAAAATGTCCTTCAGTAAAATACTGTTTCCTGTCAATATTTCTGACATGCGTTTAAAGATTTTTCTAGGCACATTGCTTCTTAGTAGGCAGCTGTGAGAGTTTTTTTTTTTTTCTGTTACTGCTTCTAACTGATTATTGACTTCAAATAGGAAAGCTATGGATTTATGTTTTAAATCTGGTATATTATTAAATTGTATTTAATATTGCTAACAGTTTTTCAGTTGATTATTTTAGATATTTTTAGATAGATAATTATCTGTAGAGATAAAGAAAGTAATGTTGGATGGAAGTATTTTTAACAGGTACCCTTGTGATTTTAAAGTGGATACTTCTAATATTTCAACTTTAAGGCATTTATGATATATTTCTATATTATATCCTTTGTCAATTTCAATAGGTTGTTCCTGTTTCTATAGCACTGTCAAACAGGAATGAGTGGTTAATTTATAAATTGCTTTTGAAATTTAGCAAGCTCATTTTATTTCATTTGTAATATTTTACTATAGTGAATTACTTGAAAAAATATCCTCATATTAAGTCACTTTTCATCTTTGGTCAATCATAATTAAATCATATAAAGTATTCTTTAGTACACTATAAAATGTAACTTGATAAAGTTTTATTGAGGCTTTTCATAAAGTGTTTGGATCACTAGGATTTTTTGGAATTCTTTTTAGCAAGCGCCAGCTTCAGAATCATGTTGTCCTCAGGGAGTGAGGCTGAAGGACTTCCTGTCATCATTCTCTCGCTGGAGAGCCCTGTAAATGACGCCTGGATTATGGTTTTAGAAGTTGGTAGAGATCACCTGTAACACCACTTAATCCTTATGCATTTTTGTAGTATAATTTAACTGCCTTCTATATTTCTCTTCTGATTCTCAACCTATAGAGGTCTCTTTCTTCTTTTTGTTAGTGGTTTATTTTTCTTTAGAGATGGTCTTTTCAACACAAACTTTCAGCTTTCCTGTGTCTATTTCCTTTTGTTACTTCAAGCATGTCTCCATATCTGTGTCTATATATGCATCTTCATTTTTTTTGCCTTTTGTAATTTGTATTTTCTTTCCTTTAAAATTACAAATGTGATTACATTTGTAAAAGATACATCTAATTGATATTTCTCAAGAATCAGCTTTTGGTTTTCTGGATTGTTAATCTTAAAACTTTTTTCTAATGACTCATTTTTCTCTTTCCTATTGATTTGTTCATTTTATTTCAAGTAGTGTTATTTTTTGATTCTCTTTCTAACTTCATGGGTGAATGTTTCATTTCGTTACTTTTAACTTCTTTTAGTTCATTTGTAAAAGATACATCTAATTGATATTTCTCAAGAATCAGCTTTTGGTTTTCTGGATTGTTTATCTTAAAACTTTTTTTCTAATGACTCATTTTTCTCTTTCCTATTGATTTGTTCATTTTATTTCAAGAAGTGTTATTTTTTGATTGTCTTTCTAACTTCATGGGTGAATGCTTCATTTCGTTACTTTTAACTTCTAAAAATTTCATTTAAATCTATACAGTTTCCTCTTTATTCAGTCCATATGTTCAGAATTGCAATGCTTCTATTTAATTAATTTCTGAATAAATTCCAGTTGAATTTTGATTTCCTCTTTATCTAAGATCTCTTTATTCAGTCCATATGTTCAGAATTGCAATGCTTCTATTTAATTAATTTCTGAATAAATTGCAGTTGAATTTTGATTTCCTCTTTATCTAAGAATTACTTATATGTGGGCTTGAAAATTTATAGGTGATTAAATTTGTTAACTTTTAATTTTATTTCATTGTGATCAGAAAAAAATGTGGCTGTAATTTCTATTTGAGAGGAGGATATTTACATGCCCTTAGGGATTGATACTCTTTTAAGTTTTATAAATGTTTACTGGACTTTTAAAAAGCAAGTGGAAAAATGGAGACCTGAGATGGAGAAAATCATAGGGATGATCTGAAGCATCTGTCAAGCAACTAGCTGGATGTACAATGACAACATTTTAGCTACAAAACTGAGGTCCTAACAGACGTGGGTGCAAACAGATTGAGAATGGAAGAAGATCAAGATTGAGCTCTTGGACTCTCCAACATTAAGAGGTTGGAGGGAAGATACGGGAACCACTGAGAGACTGAAAAGAATCTAGTAAAGGAGGCAGAGAAAAGCTAAACACTTCTATGGTTTAGTTATGGAGAAAATCATAGGGATGATCTGAAGCATCTGTCAAGCAACTAGCTGGATGTACAATGACAGCATTTTAGCTACAAAACTGAGGTCCTAGCAGACGTGGGTGCAAACAGATTGAGAATGGAAGAAGATCAAGACTGAGCTTTTGGACTCTCCAACATTAGAGGTTGGAGGGAAGATACGGGAACCACTGAGAGACTGAAAAGAATCTAGTAAAGGAGGCAAAGAAAAGCTAAACACTTTTATGGTTTAGAAAAAAGATCACTCAGGGAGGAAGAATTAGTTGCTTCACATGCTGCAGATGGGCCAGGCAAGAAATGAACTGAAAAGCTGGGTGTAGTGGTACATGCCTGTTATCCCAACACTGGGAGGCTGAGGCAGGAGGATTGTAAGTTT